GCGCGGGGAGACAGCCCTGGTCCAGTGCAGCCTGGGAGGGCGCGGGGTTCGGCTGGGCAGCAAGGGCGACCCCGCTTCTTTCGCAGCCCACGAAAATGACCAGTCTTACGTTCCCACGTAAAACCACCCCCGAATAACAGCGTTCCTCTGGAGAGGACGGAGGGAAAGAGACAATTAGGAAATCAGATGGACAATTAAAAAGAAAAAAAAATGTACCTGCAGTTCCCAGGAAAAACAAAGTCCAGATGAGATTCTTAGTTTGCAGCATTGTAATCTGCTGTCTGGGAGGGATGTTCTTGCCGCGGTAAATTCTGTGTTCCCCTTTTGCAGCAAGTGTGGACGGCGGCAGAGCAACAGACGTAGGGGCAGACAATTGCCAGGCTGAGTATGATTATTTTTGCAGAATTGTTTCCTGCCAGCGGCTGCCGAGCTGCGTTCACGCGCTGAGCGGAGAATGAGTGACAGTCCCAGCCTCAGCACACTCGCAACTCGGAGATCCTTGCGCTGGCCCGGGTTCGCTTTGATGGAACTGGGGATGGGAGAGGGGGGCGGGGGTGAGAACCTCACTGTGTCCTTCCACCACGCCGGCCACAAATAGTGCCGAAGAACATCAAGGAGGTAAGAGACAGGGGAGGCAGATGCGGCCGCCTGCAAAATGCGGCCTGGATTTACAGAGGGAGCAGGGTTCTTTCACTGGAAATCTAGGCAGAGCAGGGATTTCATCTTTTCACTCTTCTCCTTCCTGCCTCCCCGTTGCCTCCTGCCATCCAGCTCTCATTAGTCAGGACTTTATGTATTTTCATAACTAATAATAAAACAAAAACAAAGTCTCAGATTGTTTAGGTTCTCAAACTTGTGGAATCCTTCCATTTAGACCCTAAGATCTTTGCAGCACAAGGAAAGCCTAGGACTTCATTTTCTTTTTTAAGTGCAAAAAATTAGAAATTTGGAGAGGAGTAGGCGTTGCTGTTGCTAGATTTGTTTCTTTGTGTGTTTTCTCCCAGCTATGAAGTTTGCACTTTCACGGAAAGGCCACACACACACACACCAACAACAAACAGCAGATCCCAAAAGAAAGGTGGGGAGCTACTTAAATTAGAAGAAAATCTTTAGAAAGAATTTCTAGAAATAACTGGAATAAAATATTCCCTCGTCAATAGATGCTGAAATCTATGTTCACTTTTTTAAATGGCAGTATGACAGGGGAGCAATATTAACATTTTCCACGGAAGGGACACAACTTCTATTCTTAAGGATATTAACGTAGAATATTCCTGAGATACCAACACAATGGCTTCAATTAATCTCACAGCTGTGTTGTAAAAAGAAGAAGGTGAGGGGAGCAGGGTGAAAATAAACATGTTTCAGCACCTGAACAAAGCATGGCTGCGTAAACAAACAAAGGTGAGGTTGCCCTAGATGTGAGGTTGCCCTGTTAGCCTGGCACAGTGAAAGCCTCTAGCAGAGTAAGGCACCAGCTCACCAACACTACCAAGCTCTGCCATTGTCCTTAAAGGGCACGATCCCTACTGCTGTGGAACATTTTAAGAAGAATTCTCTGTTGTCTGGCTGACACCAACCACTGACTCCAACAGTCCTTTGCCTTTCCTCCTTGTATGCTCTATCACACAGCCCACATCAACACCAGGTGATTTTAGGGAACTCCCCCCAAACCAATCTTTCATGTTTCCTTTTGTCGTATTTACCTTACACTAATTATAAACAACTGAAAAATACCATAAAGTATAAAGAAGGCCCTAAAATTAACCCCACAGATTCCACAGCTACCCACAGATTTTCCAAGTCTTCTACATGTACAGATTATTTTTGTAATTGACATATTATAGTAGCAATTTGGAGCCTGCTGATTTTCCCAAACATTTCATTGTAAGAATTTCTATGGAGCCATTAAAAATCTTTCTAAATATTTTATATCTATGTAATATTTCTTCCAATGGATGGTTCTTCAGTAGTTCCCCCAACATTGATATTTAGATTGTTTCCAGAGCACTATTTGTAAATAGTGCTTTTCTGGACCATTTTTCAACACATATTTGTTGAACAATCACCGTATGAAGCCCTGTACTTGGAGTAGTAAAATACATATATGGTCATTTACATTGGAAATGGAATGCCTCACAAAGGCCCATAGGCTAAAGGTTTAATCCTTAGGATGGTGTTACAGGGAACCCTTAGGAGGTGGGGCCTAGTAGAAGGAAGTTAGATCATAAAGGTGTGTCCTTGAAGGGGATATTAGCACCCAAGCCCCCTCCTTTTTAAACTCTTTTGCTTCCTAGTAGCCATGAGGTGAGTTTTCTCTGCCACACACTCCCCACCTTAGTGTTCTGCTTTGCCACAGGCCCAAAGGCAACAAGGCCAAGTAATCACAGACTGAAATCACTGAAATCATGAAACAAATCTTTCCCCTTGTAAATTCTTTATCTCAGGTGTTTGAAACAACGATGGGAATCTGTGTGTGTGTGTGTGTGTGTGTGTGTGTGTGTGTGTGTACGCTAATGGTTTCTCTACTTAAACATCTTTGGCTTCAAAAGTGAGCTTCTGCTAGTAGATAAAATTATCTCATTAAACTTTATGAATTTATGTGGGTGAACATATCAGATTCTTTCCTAAAGAAAATGTCTTGATAGTGGAGAGAGGGAGAAAGTAGACTGGGGGAGGAGGAGAGTGAAGGTTGGGGCACCCAAAATAAAAATTTTTAATTTTACCAACAAGAAGGAGACACACATTTTCTTGCAAACCTCCCTTTTTTAAACCCTTGTCAGTAGAATTGAAATATACTTCACTATTCTCCCCAAATTTTCCTAGTTTTAGCTTTGCAATGTAGACAAGTGTGGAAATCCTATCTCACTTCAGCATGACTGGATGTTTTTCTTTGTCTCTCCAGGCCCTCCCTGCCCTGTGTAGCTGTTGATCTCTGCTATAATGACTCATTCTAGAATCCTGCCCCAGTTACTCCAGTTCGCACTCCCAGTAACTCTCCCATGTTCTTTTAACAAAATACATTACTAGCTTTTAATTCTTCATTTCTACTCTGTAACACATTTCAGTCCACCTTGAACCTAAGTTTCAAAAGAAATGAAACTATGGCCCTCTGCAGACCTTTCTCCCTGGAGAGACTCTCAGGCTGTCAGGGACACATCAATGAGTATCTACCATGTGAAAATCCATGGGGTCAAGTGCAGAGGAAACTCCCAGACTGTGTTAGGGGGGACCTTTTTAGTAAAAGCAGACTGTGATCTAAGAAGACAGCAATAGCAAGGAACAGCAAAGAGGCCAGGACAGTGCTCCTTCTGGTGTGGCAGGCCTTAATCTAAGGCAGAGGCAGTGGGAAAGGGAACAAAGAGGAGCACACATTTGAGAAATACTTCCAAGATAAAAATGGCAGAACTTCTGAACTTTCCAAAGATTTGTGACACAGAAAATTCCAAATGCCTTTCATTCATTCAACAAATTATTGAGTATCAACTAATTATAGGGTACTGCTCTAGATGGTAAGGATTGCAGTAGTGAACAAAAGCGCGTCTTTCATGGACTTCCATTCTTATGGAGAAGACAGACAATAAAGCACTAAACATCTAATATACACATGGTGATAGGTGCCAAAAATACCAATAAAGAGAAGTAAGACAATAGGAAGTTCCAAGGTGGGAAGGAATTACCATTTGGAGCATGAGAGATATTTGACAAAAATCTAGAAAAAGTGATGCTCCAAAGCTTCCAGTGGGTGCAACTAAATAGCTACTGGTGACATGGACAGGGAATAGCAGAGGAAGGGAAGATTTAGACTTGGCAATTAACAAAGGAGCAATAATGTCAGCTCTGGAAATATTAAGTCCAAGATGTGTGAAAGACATCCAAGTGGAAATGTACAGAAGACAGAACACTGTTGTTTGAGATATAGCCAAAAGGAATTGCCAAAGAAAGAATAGAAAGGCAGTCAGTGACAAAGAGAACTGAAACATAAAAATTTACAAAACCTAAAGGAGAAGAAAAATTTTAAGTGATCAACAAGATAAAGATTTTTAAAAAGAACTTTCTAGATTTGACCATTTTAAAGTCCTTAGTAGTCTCTAAGACAGCAACATTCGTGGAGTGGTGAAGAAAGGAGCCATCCCTGACCCTGAATGAAAGGGCGGTGGAAGAGGAGAAGCTGGGCATGGGGAACATCTTTCCAGTAGTAAATGACAGGGGAATCTGTGATAAAGACAAGGAAGGGAAGACAAGACTGAGAGATAAAGAGGCTTAAAGAGGTTTTTCTTTTCTTCTCTTTTGACACAATGACTTGTCCTCAGCTTATAAAGTAAATCAAATCAGTTGTCAACTCCTGCTCATCATCAGTATGACCTTATATATTAACTCAACTTAGACTGTTTAAGAAATGAACCAAAAAACAAAACAAAACAAAACAAAAACAACAACAACAAAAAAACAACTCCTATTGCTTTTGAGAAGGAAGATGGCAGGCATGACCCCAGAACTCAAGCCACCCTAGGAGTACTTAAGGAATGAAAGTTTCTACAAGCTCTCCATCTTACTCTTAGCCTCTCACATTCCATATCTAGTTGACACTAATGACTTCTAAGTTATACTGCATGGGAAAGCTGAGGTAATATGCTCCCCTCTCTGTTCAAGGCTGACTCAGGCACTGGTTAAGTTCACCTGGATACTCACCAGTCAATCCATCTGAATGATACTGAGATGGGTGAGACTCAGAATCACTGCTTCTCTGTGTGGTTGTGCACTGCCCAACTTCAAAGGGTCCATTTCACACCCTACTCACCCACTCACCATATTGTTATCATGAATTTTTTTTCTGGCATGGATAGAAGTAAAGCATCAAGGAAGAAGCATTATTTTTTTAATTGTGCAAGAGGTTTATTAAGGAGTACTTTCAGAATCAACACCCATATGGGAAAGAAACAAGTTGGAAAGAAAGAGAAATAGTGCCCCGTGGGCACAAGACTTCAAACAGCCTTTTGTGGACTCTGAACCTAGTTACAATATGTTTACAATGACCAGACTAGATTCAGGTCACTCTGAGAATGTGATCTGACTTTGGGAAAGGTGACTGTCTTCAGCCAAGGGCAATTTCCAAGGCGGAGCTGACAGATGAGGCTATCCAAGCATCTGGGGAAGAAAATTCCCTGGTCCAGAAGGTAGAGTCTAGGCCCTAGCATAGTACTCACTACAAGAGATTAGCTCTGAATCAAAATCTAATTTGGATAAGTTAAATTTTTCTTTTCTTTTTATTGTAGTAAAACATAAAATATACATAAAACTCACCATTTTAATATGTACAGTTGTTGACACTAAGAATATTTGCATAATTGTACAACATTCACCATCATCCATTTCCAGACATCTTTCATCCTCCCCAACTGAAACTCTGTATACATGAAACACTAAATCCCCCCTGCCTCCATCCCCTGGCAACCACTATCCCACTTTTTGCTTCTGTGAGCTTAACTCTTCTAGGTACCTGGAATAAGAAGAATCATACAGTATTTGTATTTTTGTGGCTGGCTTATTTCATTTAGCACTTTCAAGATTCATCCATGTTGTAGCATGTGTTAAAA